TCTTTCCCTCCTTGTTTAAAATCCTTGCTCTGTTTGCACAACGGCTCATGCAAGAGGTTGGGCCATTTCTACCAGTTCACCCTTCACAGTGTACTGCACCCACCACGTTCCACAAAGCTCATGAGGGTTCCCTAATCCTCAATGTGGGGGCTGCACTGGCCAGGGAAAGTCAGCAGAGGTTGATTGCACAGACTCCATTCTGGATCCAAGCCATTGAAGTCTGTAAAACTGGTCTATCAAACACACAAGAGTGTTTTAATTTGCAAAGAAAGAGAGGAACACCCCTCTAAATCTGGCATAAACCTGTGCACAAAGAATTGGCAATCAAAATTACATAGAAATTCCACCACCATTCTGTCTCTGATTTGATCATTGATTTTAAGTATTTATTTTGGCTTTTGAAAATTGGTTGATTATTCAGCCTTTCAAATTCATATCTAACAAATCACTCATGGAGCAGCTGGGGCTGTATATGTGAGGGGGTTTTAACTCGTATCAGCTTTTTGACCAGGAAGAAGGAGTAGGAACAGCTCAATTCAGTGCAGCATCCCCTCTCCCAAACAGCAAATTTCAGTAATTTTAGTTTTTCACTCCACATGTGCATCTCCTTCTGCTGGGTTAGAGAGAAACCATGCACAAACACTTCATTGCACAAGAAGTTCTCAGTCTAGCTAGGATCACACATATGGGAATCCTCTTCCAGGCGTGAGGTGACCCTGACACTTTTGACAAGAATTTTTGAGAAATCTGACTTGGGCTTTGAACAGTTGAGGTAATGGTCCTTAGCGAGGCAGAATTGCAGTATTTCTTTTTAGTGTCCTCCCAGATAATAACACAGGCTTACGCTGCTTGCTTACACTGTTCATGTAGAAATGGGAAAATGCTGACCTTAATGGGAAATTCAAGCTCCCAATGAAGAATGAATTTATTCCTACAAACTTTGAAATTGTACCACTAGAAAAGGATGCACCACAGTACCCTACTCTTATTAAGGTAAGTAAAGATCTCTGTTTAATAATAATGGGTGGAATTTCTGGAATCTGTTCCCATTATTTTGTGAAGTGCTTTTTGAAAGACTAAGGTTATCTAATAAAAAATAAATCTTTTTACTAACTTTGATTTAAAACGCTGCTTGAGCAGCATTTTTAGATGATAAAAATGAATTAAATTATACATCTAAGTATCATTTAAATTATGACTAACTCCTGAGTTTTTACCTAAACACTCATTGCTGCCTTTTTTATTTGCAGTAAGATTGTTATCTATGTAAGCCACCCTGAGCCCGCGTGCAATAGAAATAGAATAAAATAAATAAATAAATTGTTTTAATTGGTTAACATTTATGGTATGGTACATAACTATCACCTAAGTATGCAGCATTTGGGGGCATGATCCAGTTGAGTGCATATCAGTGCTTGTGCACAGTGGCACACCCTTCAGAGCTCAACAGAGGCCTATCTTCCTTGCCATAAGAATGAGTGCATAAGAATGCATGTAGATTGCATCAAGGGGAATGCAGGGAATGGGAGGTCCTTGTGTGCTCCCATGCTGTCCTTCATCTCTTTATGGCATGGAGAGCTGGACTGGGATATGCACGCAGGCTGTCTGTTTCCTGAATTGTTGTCTTGCACTCCCTGCACATGCAGCCATGTGCTTACAGTGGAAGGCATGGGAAAACAGGTTGGCATTGAGTCCTCTGCTGGTGTGGGAGCTGCCCAGGCTCAACTGGATCAAGCATAGCACCTTCAAATAATATTGACAAAATGATAGCAGTTAGTAATATAATGTAATAGAAGACGTGTTTTCTTGAACGCAGGACACTGCTATGAGCAAGCTGTGGTTCAAGCAAGATGACAAATTTTTCCTGCCTAAAGCTTGTCTCAACTTTGAATTCTTCAGGTATGTAACCATTTTTGCCTCCAAAATGTATCATAATGAATATGGCAATTTTTTAAAGGAAATTTTTAAATCAAGAGAATATGAATGAATATAGATGCAGTCAACATTGTCCACACCCACTTCATTTTCACCCAGAAGCCTCATGCTGTACCTCATTCGCTTTTGCCTCAGTCTAGCTTTTATAGAAGTGGGCTGCATTGTGCACACCTTTCCCTTTTAGCACCTAGAATATTCAGTTGAGGGAATATGTCTGCATAGGCTGCCTTCTATACATTCTTGTGAATCTCCTGACAAAAATATGCTCTGGTTCAGTGTAACAAAAACAACAAAGGACAATGGAGTGAGAGAGCTGCTGTAACTAAAAACACTAAACTCCAAAAGTGGGCTGTACCTCAAAGACTCCCAAATCCTATGTAGCAGTGATGGCGAACCTTTTAGAGACTGAGTGCCCAAACTGCAACCCAAAACCCACTTATGTATTGCAAAGTGCCAACACGGCAATTTAACCTGAATACTGAGGTTTTAGTTAAGAAAAAACAACTCCTACATTCACATCTTTTGTCTTAAAAGAAAAACACAATAACAGAACTTTCAATTATACATACAACTTTTTATTGAAAGGTAAAAGTTTGCATTTGGCATGCTTTTGAACAATAAATGTGATTTTTGCTGTTGTATGCATGCACATATCCCATACATAGGAGGCGTGCAGACCTCGATCATCCATACAAGCTCTTATTTTCCCATTAGCA